AGACTTCATGTATGCTGCTGTGCCCTTGGCTGCAGCGATGATGACATACGGAACTCGGTCGCCCAAATTGGGAGCGCTCCCTGCATCTCTCTTCCTCATCCTACAACAGAAGCAAGAACAACAGTTATTTCTTTATGAACTTTTATCAATCTTAACTTTAACTTCCCAGTACAATTTTGGTGTCGTAGGATAACCAGTAAGTTCTTTAATGCCCAGGTCACATGCAATCATAATATACACGTCCAATGCAACTTCCAGCTTTACATCCTGAAGCCGTCACAGCCTGAAGTCCTGTGCTCCAGTAAGAAAATATGTGTAAACTGCCCTTCACAAGGACACAACATTCCAAACCAGAACCTTAGCAGCCAGTCCCTTGTCCCACCTTTCTGCCAGCTCCACATGAGCCTGTTTAGCTGCGTACTCGTCCCCTTCCTTGGTCAGCTCCTTGGTGATGACCAGCTGGGAGATGTCCACACGGTTACACAGCAGGTCAGAGATCACCTGTTTAGCGTGGTCAATAGCACCCTGGGGATCCCTGAAGCCAAGATCACAGAAATAAGCGACAGTGTGAGCACTGAGAGGTTTATTCTTATTAACCTACTTTTACCTGAGGGATTATCTGCCACTTTGAAATACAATGTATTTGAACTTTAAGTTTGAGAGATCTCTAGTGCATACATGTACATGTGTAGTTTAGATGTGCAGGAGTGCATTGCACTGGACACTTTACTTTCAATACACATTTTTCAGGGTGAAAGATACATGTGTGACTCAGAGCATACTCATTTTGGAGTAGACAGGAAGCACCAAGCAAATCATTAGGGCAATATATTCCATAGATGGACAGCATGATCTTCAGATCCTGACCCACTAATCTCATCAAGCTTCTACTTCTCAAACCTTTTTCTTAACGGTCTAAATTCAAAACATGAAAATGGCCACACAGTATTTACAGCTGGACACTATCTAATAATTTACTGGTAAATGCCTAGCTAGAACATTTTATAGTCACCTGTAGATAAGGAGTTTCTGCAGACATGTGTTTATGAGGTGAGCCACTAGGGGGCAGTTGTCCCGGCGCACAGTCTCGATGCCCTTACAGTCCATCTTGTCGTGGACCTCAGGGCGAGTGAAGTACAGCCCAGCATAACGCTTCTTGTTGATCAGCAGATAGGGGAAATATACCTGGCAGAGTTAACAGAAGAGTTAAAAAATTACCCAGAAGATAACATAATAATGTTTACTAGTATGGTGTAAAATATCTCTGTAGATGAAAGAACCCTACACACGGAGAAAGCATGGAAAAGCATAATGCATCACATCAGTTGAGGATGACAAAATATGAATGATAATAATACAGCCAACATAGTAAGCAAAAGAATAAAATTTTCATCTTAAGAATCTTGAGTTCAATCATATGTGACTGGATTGTGCACTATGAAAGTAAAAATCCTGAACACTAATTTTTAAAACATCAAAGTAAAATCCTTGCCAACCTTTTCAAACTCCAGTTTGACAGGATGGGGGAATTTTGCTGACACAGCCTGTGCCGCCTCCTTCCCCAGTTCCATGGCTTCTGCCACAGTGTCCACTCCAAACTTTACCATTACGGAGTCTGTGTCACCATAGATAACCTGCAGACACAGCAACTCTTTAGTACTACATATTGGACATGTACTCTGCTGCATTTAGAGCCATATATGGCAGAACCACTGACATCAATAAGCCGGGTAACTTAAGACTAACACATTGAAAAATGATGTTACAGAGACTTTCTTAAGAATGTCTTGGATACCTGAAATGTGCAGATGTCAGGGATTACTGATGCTGCATTTTGTAGCTACATTTAAATTCACCGTTAATCATAATAAAGTGGCAGTCTTATGTTAACTGGCTTAAAAACATTTTCACACTCAATGCCCTTTATGACGTTTGTGATATGGGTATTATTTCATCTAGACATATACAAGAATTCTAGTGCCTAAGTTTTACTTCCATGCCTAATAATTACTCACAACTATAAAACCCACCTTAGCATCATGTTTGTGCCCCAATGCTATCCTGTATGTGTCCTCCACAAACTGTCTGGTCTGTTCAATCATGGTCCTGCCAAACGCTGTGACACTCTGAGGGAATAGAACACAACACAACAATGTGTACATGTAGCAGTTTAGTTGTTCCTGCAAACACAAACACTTACACACAGACAAACCGGATATAATACCTCAGACCATACCAAGAAAAATAAAACAACTATGTTCCATGACAAATAAGAGAGTTGCACTGATGGTTGAAGAGCAGTGCTGAAAGGCTCCCACATACCTGAGATATCTCCAGACAGGGCAGCTTGCCGACCTGTGCTCCTGTGAACCCGTACACAGAGTTAGCACTGATCTTCAGGGCCAGCTGACGGCCGTCCAGCACAGACTTACGGAAGGGGTCAGTCTCTTTCTTCAGGTCAGCTTTGGCCCTTTTGGAAAAAAAAAACAAGAGACATGCGATTTTCATACAGAAACATGGGGCAGTTTTGTATAGTACAAATACAAATTGTCCAAACCTAGTGATGGACAGGTGTAGTTGTCTCCGCATCCCTCGTTGTCAGGCAGACAGAATACTTCAGGTGATTGAGCCTGTCCACCCCCGTGTAGACTCTAGTTGGTATCGCCCAAAGTTGAAGGGTCACCCTCCCTGCGCATGCGCACCAGTCTAAAGTTTTTCAGCTCCACCTGGCCGAAGCCCTCTCGGGATGGGTCGTGCCGGAACTCGTGGAGAACTGCACCAGTCAGGGAGGGTGTCTGCCTGACAACGAGGGATGCGGAGACAACTACACCTGTCCATCACTAGGTTTGGACAATTTGTATTTGTCTACCGCATTCCCTCTTATGTCAGGCAGACAGAATACTTCAGGTGAGATTTGTAGCTGCTGAGGCCAGGACGTTTCTTCCGAATGAAGCTGACCCCACCGGTCTGTTGTAGAATTTCTTAAAAGTAGAAGCTGTAGACCAATTAGCTGCTGCTAGAATGTCCTTGGTTGATACGCCCTGTCGTGCCGCAGCAGAAACAGACGCCCCTCTAGTTGAGTGTCCGGTGAACCTTGAGGTGTCGATCCCGGCCTCTTGTAACACAGTTTTTAGCCATCTAGCGATGGTAGACGTAGATACCGCCTGGTGTGGCTCCACAAGAGCTCTAAACAGAATACTGTCGCACAAACGAAAACTTCTAGTTCTTGA